ATGCTGATGGCTGCAGACAGCACCTCTCACTAACTGAGAGCAAGAAATGCTGAGGCCTTTTGCCATTCTGGTTATTTTCTGAGGAGGCCACAGAAAGTGCAGACCTCATGTGCAAAACCTGGCCCTAAAAAAAGCAGGCCCTTCTTAACGGCCAGCGTCCTAATGCAGAGAAACAGAAGTGGGGCTGCAGGGAAGGATGTTAGCCTTGTCCACCTGGGAGTACAAGAGGGACAGTGGGTGCACCTATATATCAAGGTAAAAAAGCAGAGGCTACACAAGCACACATAGTACTGGACTTTCATGCTGGGGCAGCCCTTTCTATTTGGTTAGTGTGTTCTTGCAGGTAAATATATGATACTTTGTCCAGAAGGAGGTTTCTTGGTGTTGCTGTCTTTGCCTGATTTCCCGGATCCCAAGGTGAAATCTCTCAGATATTGCCAAAGAAGTTTCCTTTCGTCCAAATGAAAATTGTTTGGGTAATAAGAGAGGTGTACCTTAGAGCCAAAATACGGGACTTACTTTTCCTCCGATAAACATACAGATGCTGGAAAAAACACCCTGAAGGTGAATGAACAGGATCTCAGCATTACACTCATTTCTGGAGCTTTCTCTGTGTTCACTTATCTGTGCATTTTCTAGGTGGTACAGGCAACACTAGCTAAAATGTAAGTATATTTGCTAGCTTTGATGTTTAACAGGAGCTAAATCTGTGCCTGAATTAGAGTTTAAATCCACAAGCACCATAAAGGCTTAAAGGCAAGTGCCCACAGCTGTACACACTAAATCAGACTTTCATGCAAAAAATATACCCAAGTTCTAGTATGCATGGATTTAAATACTAATATACAGGTATGTGCGTGTGAACTAGTGTAGACTGAAGGTTCTGCTCAGCACTACTTATATGGTGCTGCCTGCTTCAAGAACACTAAAATTTAGATTTTTTTTCATATGAGAGAATGTGATGTACTTAACTGTATGGCTAAATTTTGACAACAAAACTAAAAGACCTGTTTTGTCATTAGAAACCCCAAGATGGCAATACAGTCTTGTTTTTCTTTGCTGCTTATTTCTATTATTATCATTATCATCACAATTATTACATTGCAGTACATGGAACAGGTTTGTGATTTTCTCCTTTCTGACATCGAAAAGCCTTGCTGATTGCTAAGGATTATTTATACAAAAATTGAAAGCTCCAACTACTTCAACATTAACTGAACAGATGAATGCTATGCATGACCTGGAGGTATTAAAAGATTCCATTTAATAACGTTAGCCAAATAGACACCTCTGCTCAAGTTTGGCTTCCTTTTATAGATACGCATGACTTACTTAACAACCCTGTTAAAAATTCTATACTTCCATATTATTCTCATCTTAGCATGTAACATACATCTACATATATTACATTTTCAGGCAGCAGCCTATATTGATTATCTATATACTAATCGCTTTTGAACGAATTCACACCAGGACCCTTATCCTTTTCCACGTTCAGATAGTTTCGACAGAGCCAAGGTAATCAGTTCTGATGCAGTTAACTGTTGTTGCAGAGAACACAGCAAGCAAGTGATAGCAAGCATCGTTCACCTTGATGCTTCATGACAGATACTAGAGATTTATCAAATGTGCTACTGCCCATGACTGCTGTCCAGGAATTTATAAAGTCATAGATCCCATAGCAAAGGAAAAACACAAAGGAAAAAAGCTGTTGATTTCAAGTGGGTTAGCTGGTATGTGCTAAGCCAATGAGACATGTATGCACAGGGCTGTACGGTGATGAAAGTTTAGGTGCTCCCAGGAAAGTCAGCCGCACTCCCACACCAGCCTTGTTAAATATCAGGCTTAACAACAGAGGGCTCAGGTAGAGCTGAGTGGGAGGGAGCACAGCCTTCCACTCAAACAGATTTTCTGAGTTCACTTTATCCAGCCTTGCATTGAAAGAAATTAATTTCCAATAACAGGTAATATCAGTGAAAAATTATTATAGAGTAGTGCATCAGGAAAGATGTTGGCAACATTAATTAAGACTAATGCTGTCAAGACAACCAAAGAAATAAGAGCTGCTTAATACTCAGGCAATATTACTCAAAAATATATAAATCATATTAGACCCCTCCAGGGCTATTACACAGTTAGAAGATAATGAAAATATGGGCAGGGAAGATCTTTGATGTTCTGTCAAAGTTTTCTTTCTATGCATATGTGTGTGTATATGTACACATACATATGTAGTATTTTTACATAATAAGTATGAATGTATGTGGCATGCAGAGAGAGAGAGAGAAAGTCTCTCTGAGTATACTGCTTTAGAATAACCTAACACAGCAGAAAGATCAGTTATGCAAACAAGGCCAGACTGTCATCAAAACATTTTGCAGTTCTCTGAGGACAGGGAAGGGAATGGCTGGTGTGCCAACTGCTAGGTCCAGGACTCAGTACCTTCTGCTTTAACAACTGGTTGAAATCATAGATAAGAAAATGGATCATAAAATTAATTTTATAAAACCATAATATTGGGAGATTAGAGTCATAGTTCTTTGAAAGAAATCTGTTTTCTCTGGAAGAGAAACAGAAGTACTCAGTGCAATATCCTTTTTTCTGCCTTTATATCTCCTCTAAACAGCATTGCAACTTTAATACAAATTTTGAAGTAGGAGAATTTAAATGGGAAATCACATGGGAGAACTACACTGTATTGTTACTGAGATGTAAAGAGTCCCTCATTTTAATTTACTCTCCATTAGAAGAATGATGCTTAGAAAATATCCTTGAGGATGACTAAAAGTACCCTCAAATTTCTGCTGGGAAACAGAAAACATACCTTAGGAGAAAGAAGCTTTTCTGGTGGCTACAATCCCTCCCAGAACAAACATTTTGAAACTAAGCTAACTAAAACCACAGGAAACCATAAATTAACTTGTTTTCTTTGAAGATTACTCTGATAAAAGTAAGAAGAATAAAGGCTCTTCTGTGACTGACTATAAAAGTCAGAGAAAAGGGCGCATCCACACTATTCCTAGAGGCAAACTGATGCTGTTCCCAGACTTGGCGGAGCAGTCAGGAATTGAGAGAGGAGAAGAAACTGAATTACCCTGTCACATCAGGAGGGTAGCTAGCTAATCCTCTGCTAACTGAGCTTCTGAACTACATCTGAAAGGGCAGGATGGGGTGAGCCTGCACTGCCAGTTGATATTCTGTATGTGTCATGCATTTCCATGCAGACTCAGCTCCCAGTACTATGTCTGGCAGCTTTTAAAGCACTAAATTTACCTAAAAATTAAGAAGAGTTTTATTGTTTAAACATTCCCTTTTATAACAGAAAGCTGCCAAAACCTCCCCTGCTCAACAACCCAGTCATAGATGGTGCATCAAGCAGGTTGTGTTGTTTTACATAAGCTGCTCTTTGCAGGGTGTGTGTGTGAAGAGAGAAGGGCACAAATGGATCCATTTGAGTTCAGATGCATTTCTGGTGAGTTAAAAAAACAGCTGAAGGGTGTAAAAAATTCTTTGTGCAGCAAATGGGGATTTATAGGGATTAGAGTCACATGTTTAGGATCTGGAAAAGCATTTGTTTTGCATTATTATAACCATTTTTTATGGATTAATTAATGGAATGGTGATGTGAGGAATTGCTTTTGATTTAATACATAAGTACATTAGATGAATCTAGCTCTGGTTTGGGAGTGATCAGCCAAAACAGTCCCATTAATATGCATGGATAGCTAACTGTGGGTTGGTTGAATTCAGCAGGATGGTTCAGCATGATGGGCTTCAGACGCTAGGCAGTTTCTTAATGCAGTGCTGTGATAGATGCACACAGAAAATTCCAGGCTGATTTACATCCTCTATAATACTGCAAAAGACAATAAGATTACTTGCAGTGAGAGTGAGGAGTTTTGCTTTTAGTGCTGTTTGTTTTACTCAGCATTTATTATTTCTAGTCCTCTGTCAGAAATACCAGCAGCTTCTAAATGATTCATATATTTGCAAGGTAGATGCTGACCCCTGTGCACCCAGAAGTGTGATCACCCAGAAGACACTAATACCGTGGCAACTTGAATACACACAATACACAAGAACTTGAACTGTGTAATGCATGTAAGCGCTAGTAGAAAACAGGAGAAAAATGTACATCTGTGGAATCCTGCTATGTGTTCTAACTTCTTACATCTTAGATTATCAGTTACGATCTGTTCATCAGAGGTTCAGAAATGCTCATTCCTGAACTTTGCAAACAATTTCTTGTAATTCTGGAGTGTTTATGTGAATTAATTGCACTTTCTTTCTGTAATGCCAACTGAAATATGGATTTTTCTAAAATTGGAGGAAAACTAGAATGCAGGAAGCAGACATAGAAGGATAATAGGTGTGTAAGATACACCTACCACATATAGATCTGATAAAGCTGATACAAAAGCAATGACAAACAATTAGCATCTATTATCTTTTCCGAAGAATCCAGTATCTTGTTGTTCAAAAGTAGCTGTTATTTTATGTTACGTTCTGCTTGCAAGGCAGAACCACCCTGAGAAACATTATGAGACATAGATTTCAACTTCAGAAACATATGCATTTTTTAAAAAAATAAACTGCTTTTCTGTCCTTGAATCAGCATGACCAGCTTGAAACAGCATGGTCATATGCCTTCTGCATCCAAAAGAGGAACCTGGATATTTGAGGAAGTGATCCCTCCCCCTCCCTCTAGTTTATAAGCAATTCCACATTTAAATACAACAAAGTCAGTGTGAATATTGGTACTGAGCACCTACCTAAAACTATAGACAGTGATCTTTCAGTCGAAGGGGCTTAAAATAAATTGTGGTGAAGATTAAAACAATGAGTATTTTACATTTTATTTTAATGAAAAAATAGCACGTTAAAGTAAAAAGCATCAAATGTTAAATTGTCTTCTACTTGAGTGAATTTAGAAACCTCCCACAATCAATGAAGAAGGAAGATGGACTGCTGTAATATGCATGGACATTTGTCAGGTTTACCTGCTTGTGAGCATGGTCGTAAGAATTGATGTGGTTGTCAAATTCCTGGTGTTTGTGGTACTGCTTGTCACATAGTTCACAGTAGAAGTTAGCCTTCACATCCTCCAGAGCCTTGGCTGCAGCTTTCTCCTTCTCAGCATAGTCCTGCAAAGGCAGAAGCAAAGGAAGACACTTTGCTACAGATTGTGACCTCATGCTTCAGCAGCTATTTTTGTCATCCACATTAAAAACACTGGACTGACTAGGACTGCTAGATCACCGGGCTCCATCCTAGTATCCAAGTAAGGAGGTTTTGGTCTTAAGTTGGGTTTAATAAAATAGTTGTATTTCTTGCATAATTATTCTCTACTACTTTTTGTAGGTACTGTAGTGAGAACAGTAGAGAGGAATGGGGGTGTAAAACGATACCGGCAGGACACTGCCTAGCTCTGGGGAAGAAAGCTGAGCAATGAAGAAGACGTAAGTCACCAGGCGGATGTACGCAGGTTAGTCTGTTAACTGTTACAGCGCTGTCCCAGTTTGCACCAATATGTGTCTACTCTTTCAGGTATTATTGCTCAGAAGAAAGAAACTAGTTTTAGTCTGATACTAAGGCAGATTATCTTCTGTCTTCTGCTTTCTACCTTCTATGAAATATTCAGCAGGGCCCGGCAGCAGCTGGCTATGGCTGGCTGAGATTTCCCTGGAGCACAGCCACCTCAGCAGGAGCCTTTTCCATGCCACCCTGTCCTTTCCCCATATCTGTATGAAGGGACACACCATCCAGACCACCCAAACTGAATGTAACTGTCACCGACCCAACACAGACCACAACCACCGACAAGAGCACTAGCTCAACTAGCTCATGTCCAGGCTCCAGCAAACACAGCTGAAAACAGGGGAAACACAATTAGTTCCTACGTAGTCCCCCTCAGTGTCTCCCTAATGACTCAGATGGGTGCTCTGGAGAGTCAAGTACTTTGATTTCAATGTATAATATTAGGTAAAAGAGAAAACTTAAAACATAGGAGCCAAAAGTTACTGAGCTCCAAATAATGTACTTAAACAAGGGGCCTGATATTCAAAATTGGCAGAAGGCTTTGTGAACCTTATTTCTTTTACAAGATCTTCATTATACTGTTATTATTACTACACTTTCTTAATTTTACCTTAGAGTTTAAAGAGCAAACTTGTGATATGGAAAACATGAACAAAAAAGTTCGTAAAGGCAATTCATTTCATATTGGTATTGACAAGCTGATATTACTTGAGTGTACGTAATATATTGCCAGGGATTGCAGTAATTCATCATTTGCTCTAACATTTTACTCACCTAAAGAAATGGGTACTTTCTGACACCAGGCTTTCTATGCTATGGAGTCAGGGCCGTCTGCTGTCTACAGGCTTTCACCACCCTTTGCGTGACAAACTCAGAATACCCCAAACCCGGGACACACTGCACATCTGGGACACCCTGCTCCCAGCACATCACGCTGCCCAGCATTGCTCCAGGAACCATGCCAGGGTGGAGGCAAGCCTTTGGGCACACCAGATCAACACATATGCATGTTCTGAGCCTTTCAGAGGTGGAGGGACTTTCTTAATGAGTGTCACGTATTTTGAACCTGAGACTTGGCCAAGCAGCAGGGGTGCTGGTTGTCAGTGTGACACGCTGAGCTTCGGACAGCTCTGCACTGTGAGTCCTTGTGCTCTGCCCTGGTCTTTATGCCATCAGGTTGGTGACAATAGGTCTTTCTCACACAGTAGTTTAGAGGCTGCCGTTGCTAGTGAAATTAACTTTCCCTAAACTAGACTGTCTAGAAGTTAGCTGTACAGTCTAAGGCAGTAATCTAAGCTTCCTCTGGAAGAAATAGAAAAATGATAGCCACAGCCAAATGGTGATTAATCCCTTCTATTTCAAAAACCTATTTTAGTATGAGATGAAACTCTCCAGAGGTGCTATCTCTCTCTGTTGACCACTGCAAGGCTCTAAATTACTAACCTGGCCTACATCCTTAATTCTTAAATTGCTGAACTCAGGGATAATGAATTCTATATTGTATTTCTTTACATTCAATTCTAAATCTCCCCATGGAACTTGCATGAACCGACCTGCTTGAAGACAGGAGGTCAAAGAGGAATTTTGTGCCTGGAATTTTGATTTTACATCTTACAGATGATAGCAATGACATGTCAGTCCCTCCCACAGGGCAAAATCCAAATAAATCTCTTTCCTGCTTGCATATGGCTCAGGTGGGTTACTGTACAGTGGTATACTTGGATTGGCCAATTGTGAAAACAGGTAGCCTGAGCTAACATTTCTCCACTTGAGACCCTGTTCAATAATGGTGGTTAATACTTGATTGTATCGGGGGGAAATACACTTGCAATCAAACACTTAAATAGCTTTCATTAGTTATTTAGATCTACAAAGCCCATTAAAAAGTGATACTTTTCAGTTTACATTTCAGACCCATTGTTTTGCTAGCATTAATTATTCACTGAGCCTTTGGTATAATTAAAAAGCATAAATTAGAATGTGGATGCAATAGCATTAATTATGCAGAGATGTGTTTCCCGGAAGTCAAGTGTTGGGGGCAAAATATTTTTATTTTAAACTGGTAAAAATGTAAGTTTTGCACTCACTGGAAGCCAGCCAAAGCGTAATTGTTTTTTGGGGTTCCTTTTTTTTTTTTCCCCCAGGTCTGAACTGTCAATTAAATGTTCACAGCCTGCTCCATCTTTGCTTCTGCTGAAGGAGAAGCCTAATTGTTTGGGGTGAACACACTACATTACTCTCTGTGAAGCACAACCGAAACTGCTGCTCGTGAGCATTCCAAACTGCCAACTTTATCTTTCTCAGCAGAAATTAATACAGTTCCCTTAGCATAAAGATGTTTTAAAATAGCAACAAGGCAGCTCCCAGGTGCATCCTGAGATAATCACAACTACCTCCATTGCCTTATTGCTTAATTATGCTTGTCTACCATGGCAAAAGATATAATTTCCTGCTTGCTTATCGATCAGAAGCAGGGAAATTGAATGCTGCATCACATACTTTAGAAAGGTCATGGATTTTTCTTTCTCTACAAAGGCATAAGAACTTCTAGCACTACACTAAATTGTGCGTAGTCAAATGAATTTTCACATCCAGACTGCTAATATAATTTCCCTAGGACTAGAGACCGGTGGTCAATCCTGGCATAATAAATATGATCACGTGAAAGAAAATCTGTAGAATTACATCTGTAGAAAACATATGTGATCAAGAATACCTGACTACTCCAATGCAGACACAAGAAAGCAGGAAAGATGCACCAATGTATTTGAACTGGGGACCACTGATGGTAATGAATACGTGTGTCACAGTCTCATAAACTTTATTTCGGATCATACACTACTTACTACTGGGTTAACATGTATACTTATAACATTAGTTAGCAGTTCTGTCTTTGAACCATGGACAACAGTAAGTGCAAGCTGATGTCAGAGATGATGCAGTCATTGTAGGTAAGAAGTCCTAGAAACCACGGGTTAACCACCTTCTATGTTGCTGGATGCAAATAGTATACTGTGTAAGGATAAATGAGTGCAGAATACACCTGAACGTATTTTTTTTCCTAGAAGCCTGCAAAATGGTTCCATATTATAGATTGTAATTACTTTCACATCAATTTGGCCCACAGAGGCACATAACTGTAATAAATGTTTATATATTGGATTAATTTAAAAAGAATACTTCTATTGTGCATTAGGCGGGAAGTGCTTTCACCTAGCAGCTACTTTTGCAGTGTGTTTTTTATTGTGAAAATGCAATTAATGGTATCTGACATTTCATTTTCTGATATAGGGAAAATCAATGAAAAATCCCATGTAACTGAGTTTTCTAGAATGTTGCCACTGACACCTAGTCAATTAGAAATCATTTATTAAATCCAGAGTCTGTAAGAGATATTTAATAGACTGCATGTGCATTAAAGTATGCTGATCTAGACAAAACAATACCACATTGCCTGCCTCAGTAACTGATAGTAAATATACCTCCTATGTTCAAATGGACTAAGGTGAAAAGTAGGTCACTTGATAGAGTAAAACATTCAGAGGCAGTTTTCTATAGACCCATGGATTTCTACAAATATAGTGGAATAAATGCATAGTGCTTGTAAATAGAACATAAGAAAAATATAACATCATTAGCCCAGTTTTGGTCACCTATTTCTAAATTGGAATGCAAAATTAGTGACAGAACAGCTAACTCACATTAAGGCAGAGCTCAGGAAGTGACAGACTGCTCCCTCTTTGGGAACATAAGCAATCAGAGTTGTCAGAGTTTGATAACTTAAATACAATTCTGTGAACCAGTTTAGATACGAGTACAAGTATTAAATACTGACGCAACTGCTGAGGTGCCTCTTGGGGATTCTCAGACTAGAGGTTAAAGGAGAAGTAGGACAAATATAAGGACATGAATAAGCTACAGAATTATATTCAACATGTAAGAATTTTAAGCACATTTTCATTAGTGACTCAGATGACAAAATGAACTCTGATTATGTGTGAAATCTATGAATGATACTAATTAACAGTACAGGGCATACAAATGCTTTAGGGACCAGGATCAGGATTCAAAATTACTGTAATAATCTTGAGATATGGTCTGAAATCAGCAAGATAAAATTCAGTAAGATGTGTGTCAAGTGCTGCACTTTGGAGAGGGAAATCACATTCACCAATACTAGATTGTAAATAGCTGAGTAAACACAAATGCAAGGGAAAATGTCCAGGATGTTAGAGTGGAACAGAAATTAAATGAAAGTCAACAATGAAAGTCAAGGCAAATCACATTCTGACATGTTAATAGTAGTGTTATATGTAAGATGCTGAGGGTAATGATTCCACTTGATTCAGTATTGGTGAAATGTCAGCTGTAAAATACTATTGGGTACTTCTACACCAGCAAATAACTTGGCTCCTGGAACCTGGCCCTCCATCATCCCCTCTCCACATGTGGTAGTTCATTCTCAGGCTTTCATTTGAATAACATTCAGTTCAGGGATCACACTCTACAGGCACCAAAGGTGAGACTTCATCAAGCTCTCCATGCCCTGTGTAGTTTTCCAACAACCATCAAACTGCATTCCTCCAGGCATCCCAATCTCATGGCCTTCCCCAAGGCAAGCAACATTTGCATGCCATAAAAACCCATGCAGCATCATGCCACGAAAGAACTACCCAGGCAGTGTTTTAACATAGCCCACAGACTTTTTCAGGCAGACTGAAGTAAAAATAAATATAACAACTATACCTAAGGGTGCCACACAGACCTGAGGAGTCTTAGGCCAAGTATGCCCTGGGATGCAGGGTGGCTGGCAGTTTTTTCTACATTGCTGGGCCTGAGAGACTAAGCCTGCTTGTTGGGGCAGACCAAAGTGCAGATGAAGCCTTTGAGGCAGTTTTGGTCCCCACAATTTGAGAAAGATGTAGCTGTACCTGGGAGATCCTTGAGCAGAACAGTAGGAATAAGAGGTTTAAAAGAGAGTTACATGCTTAAATTAGGCAAACTAGATTTCAATCTATAATTCATATTTTCATTGGATCATTCATGTGAGCACTTGTAAGTAACTTTTTTTTGAAGGAAATCTGTAGATCTGCCTGGGCTGGTACAGAACATCTCTGGGTGGTCAGGATTTGCACATGGGTGGGTAGAGACAGCAATTGTAGTAATTTCATTTTGAGTGCTCATTCACCACTTCTTCCTCATTCACCAATTCTTGGGATAACTGCTTGTAATTTTTATGACCTTATATCTTTTCCTCTGCAGCTACAGCAAAATAGATTTTCAAAGATCTCTAAAACTCAGTAGGTAGGTGATAGAATGCAGGAAGTAAT